AAAAAAAAAAAAAAAAAAAAAAAAAAAAAACGTTAGTAAATGTAAATTGCATATTGAAGCACTCTCATTTTTTAAGCGAAACATTGATTAGAAAGGCAGGGAACATTTACAATTATAAAAGTAAAGTGACTTCAATACAAATCGTCAAAAAGAAAACGAAATTATAATTTTCTTTTGAAGTATAACATTGGGGTCTGCATTGACCAAATTAATCGATGTTTCTATCTTTAAAAAGAGACAAATATTAAAGCTATAATGAAAGTATTGAAATCCAACTGCAATATTCGGGAAGTACATTAATTTGGAGGACTTTTCTGCAATTAACACAAGAAAACAGATTACTGAATTGCTTGATATCAATGGTTTTTAATTTAAAAAATGCTACAAGTACATAATACTACATAGAGATGTACATAACACTCACATTGAGTGGGGTCCACTTGATTTTTTATTTTTGGCCAGTCCCCTTAATGTGAGTGTTAATGTACACCCCTATGCACAATATATGCACTTATAGCATATCTCTTTTAATTTAGTGAAGTCTTCTCAACCTGATCACTCCATATTTACCATGAAGTATAACAAACCGCATACAGTCCATGCATTCATTATTCAAAAAACAAAAGGACTTCGATTGGTCAAATGGCCAAAAGGGTAAATTCATGTTCCAGTTAAAGGTTACCTCTAATGGCGATAAATCAGCACCTCGGCTGAATGTCATCTCTATGCGGAATCTCTTTGGATCTTCCAACGCGACCTGGTTTCAATTTGAGATAATTTGCCAATCAGACCATCATCACTCAACACAAAAGAAAGCTCACGGCTCAATGATAAAATATACGTTAATTCCAACATATCAGGTGAAATTTGAATGCTTATGCGATTAATAGAGTTAGACAAAAAAGTAAGTACCAACCTCGGTGTTCTCAAACAACCTCAACACAATGTAACTCATGTAATCAAGCTCCTTTGTGTTGTACAATCTCTCTAAGCCATTATCACTAACAAGGCTCGGTTCTTCTTGAAGAGATTCATCCAGGTTGCAATAGCGAAGAACATTCATCAATGAATGGATATGGGATTCCTGTCAATTCAGAACAATCAAAACGTTATGTTAATTGTGAATTTTTAAGAAAATATAGAAGTACCAGAATAATTATTCGGACGCCCAAATGCATCAAATGGTTCAAGTTCAGTAAATGTCATGTCTCTCTGCAGTCTGCAACAGACATAATGCATCTGTATCCCAATTAAACCATGAAGATATCCTCCAAATATTCTACTTGACGTCTCCTGTTAAACTTTATACTAAACTATCCAACCAGGCAAAATTCAAGTGTGAAGCTGGACGTATCTTTGCAAATTTCAGTTTAACTATATTTACTCGTAGATATAATGAAATATACTCTTTACGTAAAGAAAATCCTTCACCAGGGTGATGTACCACAATTTCTCGATAAATTGGTAATAAATGATGTCTTATTTTAAATATTCATAACAATGGCACTCATTAAAATCTCTCATTGATAGGCATAAAGGCTCATTCCAAACAAACAAAATGGATAAAAAACTAATAAAAAAAATGAACTGATCAAGTGGTAGAATAACATGTTCAGAATTGGGTAGTTGCTTATGGTGTCCTGCCATAATTCATCTTTGCAGTTTGCATATCTAATTTGAAGTTCTTTCTTTT